GTACCCATAATAATCATCAGTGCAAGCAAACAGTACTACTGAGTCTCAGGCATTGTTTTGTATATTTTCACAAATTGATTTTTTTTTCTTGCTGTAGAGTGTGTGCACTTACGGGGGGTGGGGAGAAATCACACACACTCCCCAGGGAGGATGGCCATGCCATAATTCCTTTCCTCTCTTCTGGTTTCAGGATTTTGGGCACACATGCGTGCGTGACTTTCAAGTCTTTGGGTCCATTAGAAATGTGGGATCCAGTGCGTTAACCTCCATACCACCTGGCCTCACTTCTTTTAACCTTTACGACTCTGTTTGAGATAGGTATTATTTTTCCCACTTTTCATATTAGGATACATAGACACAGAAAGGTGAAGGAATTTTCCCAAGTCTGGATTTAGAGCCTAAAAGCTATGGAAGCTGGCTTCATAATCCATGCCCTTACTATTTTATTGTCTCTCTGGATGTGTCTTTGTTTTTCTGGTCAATATTCATTTTTACTAAAATGGATCAAACAATGCTCATTTGTAACCTACTGTTCTCATTTAACAATACATCTTAGCCATTTCCTCAAGCAAGTCACAGAAATCAAACTTATTCTTTATTAACTACATAATCTGTTCTAAGTGCAGAAAACAGAAAATGTTAGGGTTTCAGGAAATGGAACTGAGTAGAAAAGAAGAGTAGAACAGGGCTAAGGTATGCATTTGCTTTAGAGGTTGTATTTGAGGTGCCTGAAAGAAACACAGTGAATCCTCCTAAATTCTGCCTTGCAGCCCACGCCAGATACATCAGAACTCTTTTTTTTTTTTTTTTTGGTGGGGAGAGGTTTTTGCTATAGGGTGCGCGTGTTCACCAGAAAGACCAAAACAGAGACAGTGAGAAATCACCCCCTAGGGAGGATGGCCACACCACATTCCCTTCTCTTCCATTCTCTTCATGGGATCTTGCGCATGCACACACATGTGCCCAGCTTGAGTTTAAGCCACCACGTCCAGGACTTGAACTGTGGTCGACTACATGGGAGTCCACCAACATAGCCATTAGGCCAACTGCTGGTCCCAGAACGCTCTCTTTTTCTTTTTATTCTTTTTAAGTTTCATATAGTGTGTGTGCTTTCCAGAGAGAGAGGTGAGAAAGCACTTCCCCCTTCTCCTGGGACGTTGGGCACACACACCCATGCGCCCAACATGTGCTTCAAACTGCTGGGTTGAGGACCCAACCACAGTTGGCCATGTGAAATCCAGCTACCTTCACAATCACACCATCAGCTAACCTGCTTTTTTTTTTTTAATCATCCCCATATCCAGCCCTTTCTGTTCATTCTACCTTCTTGTTATTATATGTGTTTAAGTTAATGGCCACATACAATAGGGTATTTTCATTATCATTTTGGGTTACCTCACAGTGTTTAGCACAAAGCTGTGGGTATAGGTGATACCATACATGATACACATATACATAAATATGACATACATATATTGACCTTGAAAATAACCTATGTGGACTTTCACTGACAGGTGTATATAATTTTATCAGTCATAATAAATTATTGTCTTGAGGCCTGCTGGTAGCATGGTGGTAAAGGAAGCTGGATCTTACATGGCTGACTACATAGTTCAAGTCCTAGACCCTGAAGCTTGACAAACTCACCACATGCATGTGTGTACATGCCCAAAATCCTGAGGAGGATGGAAAAGGGATTGCAGTGTGGCCATCCCCACCTTGCAGAAGGAGAGTGATTTCTCATGCTCTCTCTGGCAAGCACATGCACTTTATAGCAATTAATTACTGTATCAGGATCCTCAAGACCACCTCAAAGTTTGATTATTTGGTAGGAAGGAAGACTCACAGGAGTCAGCATTTTGTCATACTCTGTGGCTCTGATTTATTATAGCACAATGATAACAAAGCACTCAATAAAGAGTGAGAGAAAAAATCAGCACAAACTTCAGAGTTCTGTCTCTGATATCACAGAGGATGTGCCTTATTTAACCTTCATCTGGGATTTGGGACAACATAGATATCTACTGCAAAATGTCAAAGGATACCCATTGCCTGTAGTTTTTACTGGGATTGCTTTTTAACATATGCCACAGTTCAAGACCTCCAGAAGGGTAGTAGGTCCTTAATATAAACCACACTATTTGCACAAACAATTGAGGCAAATGGAACCACTCCTATTTCTGTGAACAATGGACAACCTGAAATTTGACATCTCAAATTCAGACAGCTACCAGTGAAACTTGGAAGCTCAAAGGATAGCAGTTTCAAGCCTGGTCTGTTTTCTCTTTACAGTCACTTTAAAGAGACGTAAATGCTGAGTAACTTCAAGTTTGTGTAACATTAAGCAAATACAGTTTTCTATAAAAGAAAATCATAATTTTGAGGTGAAGCCTTATAAATTGTAAACTATTGTAACTGTAAAAGTCAATGTCAGTGGAAATTCTTAACTAACAATTAGGGTTTAATAATGATAGGAATGTACAAAGTCTTGTAAGAAAGGACTTAATCCATCTAATATGTAGATGCGGCTTCAAGTGGTTTGACTTGCAGATGTTCCCTTTATTAGTTTTTATTTCTGTAAAGAAATGCTGTGTGTTCCTATAGCACATACATCAATCATTTGTCATCTACACTGTCCTGCTATTGAAAATTGTAGTCTCTGACTACAACAAAGAGGGAAAGACATGAAGTTTGTAATTTCTGCATTATTAAATGCAGATAACTTGAAATTAAAGAATATGTCGTTGCAAGTCTAATGCCTTTCCTGTATCTTTCTGTGAGTTCCACTTGGGAAGGGGGAGCAGCTGGCCCCAGCTGGGAGGGCCATCTGTATATGGTAGAGACCCATGGGAGACTGGTCTCTTGGTATATATGCAGCTTCCCTTTATATGCAGACCCCAGCCTACAAATGGCCTTTTCTCTCCTCATTGTGGAAAACTGGAATGACTGCAATGCTCCATTCTATATTTCAGTTTTGAGGACTTAAGATTTTAATGTTTTGTTCTGTTTATCTTTTCTTTCTTTTTTTATTTTTTTGACTATAGAAGTGCCTGTGCTCTTATGCAAGAAAGAAAGATGAGGGAGAGAGGGAAAGTGAGAACGCACTCCATAGGGGAGACAAACACACCACAATCCTCCTCCATTCTCTTGGGATTTATGGGCACACATGCACATGTGCCTGGTTTGTTTTTCAAGTCGCTAGGCCTGGGATTCAAAGTACACAATTGACCATGTGGGATCTGGCCATCTTAACCACCACGTCACAGGCTGGGTCTTTTATTATTATTATTATTATTATTATTATTGTTATCATTCATAACAGTGTGAGAGTGAGGTGAGGAGCACCCTCCATTAGATCTGATCACATCATGATCCTCTTACTCTAGCGCATCACATCTTGGGCACTCTGAACATGCCTGGCCAAGGACTCAAACCACAGTCACACGTTTGACTCAAGCCATGGTCACATGATCTACAGGATCTGGCTTCTCTTGAGCAGTGCATTACCACTACCCACAGAGCCAGTCCTCAGCATGTTTTTTAATCTTATTTTAATCCCCTTTACTCATGATAAGATGCATATGCACACACGAGAGAGAAAGCACCACCTCCCCGAGTCGGGGCTAGTCATGCCACAACCCTTCTTCCTCTAGATCTCCATTTCCTCAGGATCCTGGGCATGCCTGCTACCTTGCCAGAGCAGGGACTTGAACCCCAATCAGTCATTTGGAATCTGGCTCTGCCTATTTTATTCAGAGTAAAATGCCAACAGAGGGAATTTAGTCACTCATGAGATGCTCGACAATAAAAGCAATCACTGTGATGGATCCTGCCTAGTGCTTAACTACTGTGTTATGAATCCAACTCATTTTTATTTTGATGTTTTGGCCTTGCTGATCCTAGAGAAACTGCCCACCCTAGGACTAGTTCATTCTAAGTGGTAGCAAGGACTCCTGTGGGTTATATGCCTTTCCTCTGCAAATCAAGCAACCCAGAGCTCATACACAACTACCTTCTTTATCAAAGTCTCACATAGACTTACTGTCTCCCTGTGTAACCATCCCAGGGCCAGATACCAAACAGCTAGGGACAGTCCCTCCTGGAAGTATACAAATTAGCCAATCCTAAACCTACTTAACTTGCTCACCTTGGCTTGACCTTTCCTTCCTGCAAAAGCAAATAAAGACTCTTGCCCGTTCTTGTCCTCACTCTTGCTGTCTGACCAACATTGGTGGTGTGTCTCCATGTGGCCTTACAAAGCATGGTGTGTGCCCCTTCCTCTTGGAAATGGAGGAACAAAGTATCTTCACTGGTCTCCTGATCTGTGGTCTCCCCATAGTAAAGTTGACATTTCAAAATAATCTACCTGAAACCATTAATGAAGTAGTACATTTTTAAAATTTAGCAAAGGGACCAGCAGTTGGCGTAATGGCTGTCGCTGGACTTCCATGTAGTCGACCACAGTTCAAGTCCTGGACCCAGTGGCTTAAACTCCCACTAGGCATGTGTACATGTGTGCCCAAGACCCCGAGAGGAAAATGGAGGCAAAGGGATTGCAGCGTGGCCTTCCCCCCTGGGGGGGGGGAAGTGATTTCTCGCTGTCTCTCTCTGTCTTTCTGGCCAGCACACACGCCCTATAGCAAAAACCTCTCCAAAAAAATTTAGCAGAGTAACTCAGCCATTTCAGTGTGTCATGTCCAAAGAACTGGGTGCACCAAGAGAGATTAGGTGGAGAGCCATGGATAGAGAAGGGATCCATGCCAAGGAGAGACTGTCCAGGTGGAACAGTAACCAAGTACTTCTGAGACCACTGTTGAGTGGGATCCCACTGAACCTAATGGTTTAACAGAAAGGTAATTCCAGATGCCCTTTTCATTACAAAGACACAACTAATTCAGGACCCCAGATATACACCTCCAAATACTACTGTGTCAACTATCCAATTTTTTGAGGTCTGAAAGAACAACTTTTTTTGTATATTGTTTCCTGGTTCTACTTACATCATTTGTTGTCTTATCTTCCCTTTCACAGGTATCTTCATCACTCCGTTCTTACCTCTGAAGGCATTTATACCTATGTAGTCTTTTCAAGCCTTTGTTCGCTATACTTGTGCAAACAAGGAAACAGGAAAAATACACCATGACTTTTCCGTCGACCCAGTATCACTGCTTTCAGGTAAAATAACACACACACACACACACACACACACACACACACACGTGAAGTATTCCCTTCTCACTTCGTCTCTTGTTGATACTTGGTATCACAATTAGTGATCACTCCCTTTCCCCATCTTTTGCCTTAGATGTCATCACACCTGCAAGCCTGGTTTTCATCTGCATGTTATTTTCTCTCTCACACTCCATGATACCTTTGCAATTGGGCTTGACATCAACTGTGATCTTTCTTAAGTCTGTTTTAGCTCCAAATTGCAATTTTTGTTTTTTCCTCCCTCAGTTTCTTTGAGGAGCCACTTGGGGCTGTTTTCCTCCTTGTGCAGTGTTTCCACTTCTCCATTACTTCATTTCTCTTCATTTCCCAAACCTACCCTCTTCTCGTGAACCTCCTTACACCACCACCTCTATGTCACTGTGGCAAAGTCGATAGTGACTACGTGTTATAAATCCTAAGTCCTTGCAATTATTAGGCTCTGAACAGAATTTGATTCGCTGTAGTACTCTGTTCTTGAAATACTAAAACATTCTCTTTCCTTATTCTGTAATATTTTCCTAGTTTGTTCTCTCTTTGGGTCTCCCTCTCCCTTCCTCTCTTTTCTCAGTGGATTCATCCACGTCTTGCCATCCATCAAGTGTTTCAATGTCTAAAGCTTTTATCCTCATCTCTTTTCGCTCTCACTGTATGAGTCCCCCCAGGTTGTATCTGTGCTCGTGGCTTCCGTTATCTTTCTTGCTTTGAAGACACTGAAATGTGACGCCCCTGTCCCGGGTTTTCCTTGCAGCTCTACCTCTGAATTACCGACGAGCCACTCACTTTCCCCACACGGGCATTTCAAAGATACCTCAGTCTCCACCTGACTTACATTTAAGCATAACAGCATTCTCCCTAATCCTAGTCTATTTTAATCTTCAACACTTGCTGGGACCGAGGGACTGTCGGGCCTCCGGAGCCTCGACTTCCGGGCGCAGGACGCGGGGACCCGGCGCGGTTTCCTGCCGGACGCGCCGGGGCGGGACTTCCGGCT